CGTTACATCCTGTTGAACTCTTGCCTCTCTGGAGACCAGGCAAACACACCGTGACATTTTCCTTTTTTCAGAGAGCAAGTTGTGAACAGATAAGAGCAAAAGCGATCACCTTTGTTGGCTGCTGTTTCTACTAGATAATAAAGTTCTCCAAGCACAGAGGGATATTATTCTTCTCCAGAAAAAAAAATGAAAGACACATAGTCATCTCTAAAACCGCATTTTTAGTTCATCCCTGGATTTCCTGAACTAAAATTCCCTAAATTCTACATTCTGGGAGTTCTAGTTGACAGAAAGGCCTTTCAGGCACCTAAATCTGGCTCGCCTGGGAGAAGAAACCGAAACTAGAAGGCTGTAAGGCTCAGCTAGGCTTGGATCCATCCACGCTTCCTGTTCCTGCCCCAGTGCAGGATGGGAACTTTGTTTTTGAGCAGGAAGCTAGGCAGAACTAGGCCTAGCTAAGCCTCAAAGGCTTTTCCTCTCAGGTGAGCCAGATTTCAGTATTTTCAAGGTAGAACTCCCAGAAGGTGCCAGAATCCACGGTGGAAAAGCAACTAAGTTCACCGAGCTGTATCATGCTCCCTAGAGATCTTCCCACTCCATCTTTAAGGTTCCTCTTAGAAAAAACATCCACAGCACTTCTCCTAATGACCGGAAAGTAGGTCATCTGGATGGCTCTCCTATTATGCTGGAGAAGCTTGGATTTAGCTCTGTCTTTTCTTGTCATGTTCTGCACGAGACGTCCACTGGTGGTCTGCTCTGCCTCCTGGGCCAAAATATGCAGAAGATCACTCCAATTCTCCCTGCTTTTCCAAGTCACAGAAAAGCCAGTCTTATAACTACTGGTTGTGGCTTCCATCTCGTGTTTGCAAGACCTGGATTGAACTGTTCTCTCTCTTTCATTTGGCAGAATCCGATTCCCACCTTTTCCGCTGTACCTGGGGTGATCTCTCCTCACCATCAAATTGGTTTCCAAGTGTCCTCTCGTCTTCGGGCACATCCTCCCGGTTTAGCAACAGGTCTGCCCTGCAATTTAGCCGTCCTCTCATAATTCATTTCTTGGAAACGGGGAGGGGGGGCAACCTGAGGCTGAGAGCAGCGGTTATTCGATGGTACTGAGCAGAAACGAAAGCATTGTGTTTTCCTGGCTACCGCCTGCAGTCAAAGAGGGTGGCATGTTTGCATTTCACAGTGAAGAACTACTGTTGGACTTATCGTTGAATTAATTAACTTGTGTGTGGTGTTGTTTTGAAAACAAAAACACAACGATAAAGGCGAGACCCCTAGTTCAAATAGTTGACAATGAAAACAGTTTACCTACAAAATCAGGCTAAAATATTGCATCTTGAAGAGAGTCCCGGACATGGGCGAGGGGGGGTCACCATTTCCTCACCCTTTTGAAATGTATCTCCATCTCTCATAAGACCTTATTTAGATACAGTGGTGCCCCGCATAGCGACGTTAATCCGTTCCAGGATCATCGCAATGCGATTTTCACCCATTGGAATCATCGCAATGCGATCGCATTAGCGATTGCAAAAAACGCGTTGCTATGCGGATTCATCGTTAAACAGTGTGCTCGTTAAGCGAGGCACCACTGTATTTGTTACATCTATAGCTCTTCTCTCCACAAAGCTCAAGGTGGTATCTAAGGTTCCTCCTTTTCCACATACCTTATGGATTCAGTTTCTTGAAGTTCCACTTGGGATGGTGGCTCCCAACCTTGGGCCTCCAGATGTTTTTGGACTCAAACTCCCAGAAACCTTCACCACTATTGTGTAGTAGACAGAATTTCTGGGAGTTGTAGTCCAAAACCATCATTGGACCCAAGAGTGGGAAGCACTGCCTTAGAAGGATCGGATGAAAAGTGAGGGGGAAAATCCATTTCAGAATTGCTTTAAAGTCTTCGTTTCCTTATCAAACTACAAATCCCAAGATTTCCAAGTTGTATAAAGCTGGTTAACTATCTGGTGTCGACACAGTGATGTTGCTGTTTAGATTCTGGTACAAATCTGCTTTCTTCTCTGGAACTTTGGGTTTGAAACCTGAAATGCAAATTTCATTTTGCTCTTTGCTGGTATCCTTCAATTCCGTTTTCCTCTTCTTGATGGTGCTGCATTGTTTGAGGATGCTCTGGTGTTGGCTGGGTGGTTTTACATAATCCACATCCAAAAATATATTGGAAAACAGTAAATTTTATCCTGGCATGTACGGAGACACTCAATAAGCCATTGAATTTTTCTTGACAAACCCAGAGAAAAATTTCAGAACAATTTTATACCTTCTCAGAAATCGAAGGGAAGTTGAGATACTTTTTTTTCATACTTCTTCAGATCTTACAATCGTCATCTTCCAAAAAGTTAAAACCTCTCTCTTGTTCAGGGTTGAGTCACATGTTAAGAGAAAAGTGTATGTCCTGCATTTTAGTTTTCCTTCTAGACACACAATCCCTTCAAAGCTGCATGCCCGAGCCCTCAGACTGCTGTCAGAGCTTGTGTTTACCCTGCACCAACCAATCACGAAACAAAAGCCAGCTGGTTTGCAGCACGTGGAGGTGAGGCAAGCTTGTCATCAGATCAGGCCAGGGAGGTCAGCTTCTAATGAAGAAAGACAGTTCCCTGGGCCTTATTTTCATGAAAATAAGGCGCACTGCCGAACAGGAGTCCTTTAGAGGCCACAGAAAGCCCTCCGGCTGCCAGTTGCCTTCTCTTGATTATGTAAACAACAGTGGCATTACGGCTGAAAGCTCTGTGGTTTGCCGGATCTCCGGAAAGCCTTGGGTGGCTTTGAGGGAAGGCAACTTCCTGAAGCCATCCTGTCATGTCAGAGAGCATCAAAATCTCTTATAGAGTCTGTCAGGTGAATTCCCGATGTTCTTCTTCTCACTACCTTAAGAGGACTTCTTCTTCTTCTTCTTCAAAAAAATCAGACACTAAAATGACACTAATAAAATGTCAAGCTTGTAACATGGTTCTGGACAGGACATGTTGATCTAGTGTGGTATTAGAAGTTCACCTTGGAGTGGAATGGAATCTCAAATCTCTCTTTCGCCTTCATCTTTCTCTTTTATAGTGAGAGGGGGAAGCATCTTATTTCAGCAGAGTGGAGTCACATATTTATGCCAATAAAGTCTATCCGGCAATAAGCTTGAGAATGTGGTTTTTTTATAAGAAAGGGGGGGGGAGAACCTTTCACAGCCCTGTTGCATCATTTTCTTGAAGGAATATGAGTCTTGTTCTTAGGATGGGATTTTTGGAATTTCTTTTTGACTGCAGATCCTTTCTGGGGGTTCTTCCTGGCAGACAGACACCTAAATGGGGCTCACCGGGGAGAAAGTCCTAGCCGGAAAGGCCTAGCTCTTCCTAGCTTCCTGTTTAGAAAGGAAGTTCCCAGCTAGCACTTGGACAGGAACAGGAAGCCTGGGTGGCACTAGGCCTAGTTTTGCCTGAAAGCCTTCCGGTTGAGGCCTTTTCTCCCAGGTGAGCCACACTGAAGTGTCTGTAAAGTATCTTGTCTTGTCAGATAGAACTGTCAAAATGGAGAATTATGGGAGTTGTTCTTTTTTGAAAAACCTGAAAATCCCACTCCTACTATGTAGGCCACCTTGCGGCCATTTGCATACTTCTTAGCTCACACCAGAAGCAACTGCCTCCATGAAACTGGTCTGAAATGGCCGACTGAGTCCTAAAAAGTGGAGAGTTTGAGAGAGTGACAGCTAAGTTGTCTGTTTTCGGAACAAGGAGGTGGTGAACACATTGATCACCTAGTGGAAAGGAGCAGGTTTAAAATCCTTTGTCAACAATCTGTCACCCTTATGTCAGGTTTACACCTTCGTTAACAGGTAGGTGCTTTTCCTTCCCCTGGGGTTATTTATCCTTTTCAACCAAGGGTTATTACAGGCTGTCTCCCTTTCTGCTGCATACTAATAAATTTTCTCTGCCACTGTGGTAAAAGTGGGCCAAACGGATGGTGAGAGCGGCTCATTTATCATGATTTCTGCCTTTGTGACTTGCGGGCAAGGAGCCGCCAAGGAAGAGCAGACCGAAGCGGAAAGATGGGGGAAGGAGAAGAAATGCTATGCTTTTAAATTGACCTCAGAGGACCTGGGGCTATTTGACTTGGTTCACTAGCCATTTTGGAGTTGGCAGTAGTTTCCTTCCCCTCACAAAATTCTCTTTTAAATCCATGGGCGCAAACCGGTTCGTCCTGGTTCATCAAGGCTGTGCTGCTCCCCTGCCCTGCCTCCTCAGCTGATCAGCCCCTCACCAGCTTGCTTGGTTTCCCCACCTCCTCAGTTGATCTCCCAGTCATGAGCAAGAGCTCAGATTTCTCTGCCTCTATAATTTTTCCGAGTGGGAGATCAACCAAGAGGGCCGGGCAGAGAAGCCTGAGCTGTTGCCGGGACTGGAAGATCAGTTGAAGGTCCCGGAGGCCGAGCCTGGTGAGTGGTGCTTCTGCCTTTACAAACTGGGATGAACTGGTTTGTGCCCATCTCTGTTAAAAAAAAAAATCCTTAACTCGAGAGGTGAGTTCAGAAGAGACGGGGAAGTACCAGACAGACAACTTAGATTCTAGTCTATGCGAACTGCTGTCATCATCATATATTTAGGCTGCAGTACACAACCCCAGACATGCTTCTAATTTTTGCTGTTGTTGCGACCAGCTAGTCCGGAAACAGCTCTGGAATGCTAAACAGAGGGAGATCTTTAAAATCTGTTATATTTCTGTTCTTCAGTGAACAGCCATAGATTATAGATGGGGGAAGGGGTTCCGTTTGAATGGATTCCTGCTTTTTGAGGAGCCATCCATCTAGTTGAGAAATGCAAAGGTAAAGTTTTTATTAAGGAGTTCGAACTGCAGGCGGAGGAAGGAATATATTTGGGGGACGGGGTGGTTGAAACCTTGCCAAGCTTCTTTCTTTTCCACACTGCAGAGGGTGGAAGACTGGGGAAACATTTGGCTGGAATTTTATTTTTCTGCCTTGAGTTTCTCTTTCCTGGCAGTGAAAACTTCTTGAGCAGCCATACTCTTTGGGAATGCATGATCGGCGCGGCCTCACATGTAGTGGAAGCCAGCCAAAGAGGTGTGCTCACCAACCCCTTGCGGGATGTTGAGATGAGAAGCCGTCACCCAAATTAGCTGAGGGACAGAGCCCTCCTCTAGATGCCCAAGTTTCTCCCTCTTCTGTTGGATAATGAAACTCCCGTTGGTTGCTCTTCCTGAAACCTGCGCAGAGAGGAGAGTTAGCCGCCTGCCGCTAATACTCATTTTGTAAGCAACAGAGAAGGGTGCAATTGGATGGAAAGGAGGGAAGCTGGTGGCCCGCTGAGCTTCGGAAGGTGCACACACCTGGCAGAAGCCAAGACACCGGGAATAAAAAGGGAAGACTGACAGTGTGCTTCTACGATGGATCTGGATGGAATTAAGTCTCCGCAGCTCCTCTGATATGCAGACAGAGAACTGTAATGCTTGGATCCACAATATGAGTTTTGTTCTTTCACAATATGAGTCTGAGAGAGGGTGGAATCCCAAGTTCTCAATACGAGGTAAAGGAGGCTAAACGGAGTCGTCTCCCGTATTTTCAGGTGAAAAGTAGCACCTTGTGGAGGTGGAAATAACCTCCAGCCAATATTTCTCTTCAAACAACAGTAAACACAGTAGGACCTCCATATCCACGGGATCACTATCCACTGATCACTTATCTACGGTCTGTTAACATTATTAAATGAAAGATCCTAGAAATATATATTTCTAAAGATGGAGTTAACAGAATTATGAATAGCGTTTGCTAGAGAAATGTATTTCTATGAGGTCATTATCAGAACTAGCCACTAGTGGGAGTCAGAGATCATGCTATGTATAGTTTTGGCTGCTAAAGTAGTGTTTGCTATAATCTTGTATTTATTTATTGGATTTCTATCCCACCCATCTAGACCAAAGGTCCACTCTATGTGGTCTAAAACACATATTTCAGCATCCGTGGGAGAACAAGGAACTGACATCTCACAGATACAGGGCTCCTGCTCCCTTGCTCTCCAGTCTTGTTCTGTTTTGCCTTGTTGCCCATGCTTCTTGACTTGAATACATCACTTGGGTGAGCCTAGCCAACCAGAGATGACATACTAATTTAGGCAGTGCCATCCACTGGCATTGTCCATGAAATCTGGCTTCATGATGATGTTGTGGGTGGTGGAAAAAGTTGAGCAAATGTGTATCACGCCAGGTCAGCGTGAGCAGCATCTGTGACTTTCCTGTCCTTGATTCGCTGTAGTCCTGCAAGAGGAGAAAGCTACCCCTTTGAACCACTCTGCCTTCTATGCATTCCAGACAAGGATTCACTGTGGGTTTCTTTGCTGGTCAATGGATGGTGTGGACGCTCTATGAAAATTCTCAATGAAAAGCCGACCCTCTCCTTTCATGCAAGACCATTTGGAGAAGACAGGGCAGTGGCAGGCCCATTCCCATTCCTGAAGGTCATCTCCTCCCTCGGAAAGATCTGGCAGCCTTTCCATCTCAGTGGATTAGCATATTTTAGATCCAGACTGATAGTTTGACAATGCCTTCCGTTCAACGTGTTGGGGGGGGGGGAGCCTGCTGGTATTTTAAATAGTGCACTCAATAACTCCAGTGTTCATTTCACAAAGAAAGTGTATGCCAGTTTGGCCTAACGGCCTGGATGAGTTGATTAAAGCTAGGCAGGGTCTTATTGGCGTTTCTAATAAAGAAATCACTACCCCAGCATTTTTTTCCTACGCCAGCTCAAAGCGATAGGAAAGAGAGATTGAGGAGGACAGAAACCTTGAGAAAGACGCAGAGAGAAAAATATCCTAGCATATACATTGGCTAGAGGCAACTCTTGAAAGCAGCTTTACTTTGTGTTTCATTTTTTAAAGCCCTTATTGGCTGGTGTTCAAGGTTCCCCAACCACTTCCATGAAAAATCCATTGATTGAAGGAATGTTTGGGCCACTTATTTGCCTAGAAATTATTAGTAGGCATCCTTCAGTCTCAAGAGACTATGGTAACGCGCTCTGAATAGAGAACACCAGGAGAGCATCTAGTGTGGCTGAGGAGGCCAATTCGAGAGTGACCATCCCTTCCACATTGAAGACAATCTGTCCCCTGTCCAGCTCCCTGATTTTGCTGATTTCAGGACTGCCTCTTTGCCTCAGCCTGCTGGACAAGGGTCTCTTCAAATTGGGAGAGGCTGTGATGCATCACCTGCTTCCAGGCTGAATGCTCAGATGTCAGGGTTTCCCATCTGTTGAGGTCCACCCAGAAGCAGCACAGATTATGCCCATGATGTATAACCCAAGGCCATGATTTGATGAGAGCCATCACCAAAAAAGGAGGAAGCCAATCACCAGAAAGAAGAGCAGAAGAACAAGTTGGTTTGTTTCCATTTGGAGATCCTAATTCACATGCAGAGAGAGCAAATTGTAAACAGTTGTACAGTACAGCCACCGTATCCACAGGACCAATATCCGTGGTTTCACTTGTCTATGGTCTGAAAATATTAAAAGAAAAAACCCAGAAAGATATATTTCCATGATGTAATTGGCCACTACAAGATGTCAGAGGCCATGCAATGTATAAGTCTGCGATAGCAATATGTACAGTGGTGCCTCGACTTACGACCGTCCTGACTTGTAAGCAATTCGAGTTACGACCATTTCCGGCCACAAAAATTGCTTCGACTTGCGGCTGGAGCTTTGAGTTACGACCGGAAAAAAAAGCGGGGAATTCAAACAGCTAACCATTAGTGGCGAAGAGACTGCTTCTTTGTAGCTCTTTCGCCCCAGCGGTTAGAGAGTGTGCGATCGGAGGAGGCTTCGGACTGTCTGGTGCTGCTTTCTGCTTTTTAAAATGCCTGTTCTGAGTGTGTACAGAGTTTTGCTGCATGGGTTTGGCCTGGGGGGTTATGTTGCTGTGCTGTGCTGTGTTCCGATGGGTCTTGCAGTATTTTTTCGTGTTTTGGTGTGGTGGGTTTTTTTTTCTTTTTTCTTTTTGCCCGAACAGATTAATTGCGATCTGGTAGGTATTGCAGTCTTTTTTGTGTGTTTTGGTGTGTGTGTTTTGGCCCCAACGGATTAATCGCATTTTAATGCGTTCTTATGGGAAATGGTGCTTTGAGTTACGACCAACTTGAGTTATGACCATTTTCCGGAACCAATTAAGTGCGTAACTCAAGGCACCACTGTATTTCCACAATGTAGTTATCAGAACTGGTCACAAGAAGGAGCCAGAGACCATGCTATGTATAAGGTTTGCTGTTATCCACAGTTTTCAGCATCCACAGTGGGGCGTGGAACCAATCTCCCGGGGATGTGGAGATTATACAGTATAAAACCACAGTGTATCTCACCATAGAAAACATAGTAACTTGTGCACCTGCTGAGTCTGGATGGAGAACTTCATGGTACCTGATCTCCATATGATTCTCACGTGGAAGACACTTTTAAAAGGATGGGCTTGCAGATAGAGGACCTTTCTCCCTGGAAAAGGACATCTGGCTAACCAAGTAAAGAGTCAGTGGAAGACGAGGAAAGAAAATGCCAATGGAAAGAACTTCCAAATAGTGTTGAAGCTGGGACTTTGTTTGCTTTGAAGCTTAGCTCATATCCAGCTTCTAGGCAACCTGGGTTAAGACTGAGTACCAAGTTTGGCTCTCGCTTAGGACAGTGCATAGCCGTTGAAAAAAAATCTGGTTCTGTTCTCAGCAGGAAAGGGGAAAGACAGTAATAAGATGGCGAAGCCACTTCTCACAACAGATCCCAGATCAAGGCAAATCCAAAAACTGCAGGCAGCTACGTTGATCCATATTTGTAAACCAGGTCTACCAGTTTTCATTACTTTGGAGGCCACTGCTGGCAGAATTGGTCCTTCCCTCCCCCAACCCACTCCTTGATTTATGTCCGCTATTGGTTCTGTCCAGAGACCATTCTAGCCTTCCCGATAGTCAAGCACCTTGACTGGCTGTACTTGTCTGGACGGAAGGAGAGAACTATGGATCATGGAGCAGCGGCCGGCTCAAAGAACTCATTAGCGTAATGCAAGATGGCTGTGCTGTAGCTAAGCCTTTGGCGGACGGTAAAGGTCAGCATATTTCCAGTTTGACAATATTAGGGAAGAAGGTGCCAGTCGCTCAGTAGATGCCAAAAGAGCCCATTAGAATCCATAAAACATTGACTCGGACCTGAAATATCGCTGTGCCTTATGAAATAGATGTTTCTGTAGGCCCCGGGTTTCTTGATGGATGGCCACCTGAGATGCTTCAAATCACTTTATGAAGTCCAGGAGTCAGATGTGATTCAAAAGGAGGAAGCAACAGCTTTGAAACCATACCATGACCATAACCCATCCAAGCCCTCTAGAATGCCGGAGGTTCTTTCAAGGTCTCAGATGTGGAAAGCGTAACAGTGCCATGCAGCTTCTCCGCTCGCTCGCTTATCCAGTGAGTCAGTTGACACACATCTCGTCTGCCAGCTAGGTTATGTGTCTTGAAATCTCAGAAAACCCAATTAGCTCAATATGCAATGACCAGCTCTTTGTCTGTGGGGGTGGAAGCATTGGACAGCCTCATCCTACACTGGTTCCTTTCTGGACAGCAATTAAAATACTTTTGGAAGGAGAACTATTGATTTATTATTTGTTTCTTAAATGTATACACCGCCCCGGAAGTGCAACATGTGCTTCTGAGCGGTTTACTACGACGAAACACAGCAATCAATCAAATTAAAATCAAACCATCCAGAAAGTAAATGTAGACTCAAAGAGGTATAATTTATAGCTTACAAATGAAACGCGAGGCAGATGTACAATCGGGCAGGATTACCAAGAATGATCTCTCTGAAAAGTAGTGTTTTCAGATGCCTTTTAGACATGGGGGCGGGAGGCAAACCATGTCCAGAGTGTTGGTGCCACCGCGAAGAAGGCCATACTTCGGGTGGACGTTTTCCTGGCCTCCTTTGAGGTGGCCCCCTGGAGGAGCGTTGCCTGGGAAGACCTAGAGGTGCAGATAGATGGCATTGGGGGAAAGATGCACCAAAGCCAACAGCAATAGCAGAGAGCCAGCCTAGTGAGTCTGTGCTGAGATGTTTCACCACCAATGGTCCAGAGTTGCGCTCAAAAGGCGAGTGA